GCCAGAATTACTTTTGTCTGTAAAATAAGCTTTGGTGAAATAAACTTGTTGGTAATTGTCAGTGAGTTGATTGGATCCCTTTTATATCTAGAGGTCATGCCTAGGACATAGAGAGGCATGCCCCAAAAATTTGCCATGCTTCCAACCCTACTCATCATGTGAAGTAACATCATATTCATTGGTAAACAAAATACATAGTTGTAATCTACTGTAATGTCCTGATTTGTATGGAGTAAACAATGCCAATCTTTTGATGGGGTAAGCTGTTTTTCACTTTTTACAAAAATTTTGTTGAAAAAGTAAGTAGATGATAGTGTGAAATATAGCCCTTATACTCTTTTTAAAAGAGTATATATTTTTTTTCAAAGCTAATAAAACATATAGAGCCAAGTGTACTGCTAGTTTTCTTGTCGGTAGGTAATAAACCCTGAACTTGTTAGTAAATAGTATATGAGAACTACTTCTAAATAACAAGTGCCATCCTCACGGTGAGTGATAAGCTCTGGGCCTGTTAGCAGGTAGCATATGAGAACTATCTCTAAATAACAGATGCTGGTTTATGGTTTTGACCAGTCTTATTTCCTTCTTTTCTACTATAGTTTACTGTTTTTTTTTAAAAAAAAAGGTTGTTGTAATTTTGGTACAAGGAATCGTTGGGAAGAGTTGTATAATTATTTAAAATATATTATTATTATTATTTTTTTATATATTTGATAGTCTTGCTAATACTTTATTAAGCTTTGCAAAATTTAAAAGTAGGGTAAATATAGATCAATTTCTATATATATATATTATCTAAAAAAATTTTATGCAAAAATTGAACATATGCTATATATAAAAATTTTTAAAAATATAATTTTTTTTTATGAAATTTTTATAGTATATACATTAAACCTGTCTAATTATAATCATATAATTTTAAACTGCTGTTATATTAAAAAAAAATATACTTATATATATTGCTAATTCTTTCTAAAATAACCAAAATTTGTCTAGATTACACAATATAAATAATACATGATTATCACCTGATTTCAATTAAATATTATTGTAAAAAAATTAGTAATGTGATCATTAGTAAAATTGATCGATGCTTATCCTACTCTTAATATATTAAATACAAAATCCTTAAATAGCTATTTCATCTTATATTTAATCTATAAATATTAACTTACTTAGTTGTTTAAAAAATATCTATATATAATCTGCTATAATAAAATTTTACTTTTTATTAGTTAACTTTGTTTTAGGCTAACTAACAACTTATTGGATAGTTTTTATAACCTGTTAAGACTGCTTTTACTTCTTCTACTATTTTGCATATTAAAATTTTGCAATTTGATTTGATTTGATTTAATTTGATCAAATATTTGATTTTAAATCAAATTTAAATATAAAATTTCAAATTAAATCAAATTTAAATTAATAAATATTTGATTTGATTAAATATTTAAAATATTTGATTTAATAACTTTAAAAAAAGGTAGCACTCTCCTTATAGATCACTTTTACCAAAAAAAAACAAGAAGAAAAATTTTTCTATGACAATATCTTAAAAACCTACTAAGTAAATTGGTACCCAGCTTCTAAGTAAAGTTACTTAGCACTTATAAAAGCATCTAAAAAAAATACACTTTTTTTTTAGAAAAGCCCCTACCCTACCAAGTTATTAGCAATAAATACCTCAAACAGTAAAAAACTAGTTTTCTTGCTCTTCTGCAAAAACAGTTCTAAGAACCCTCAATATTCAAACAGCCCAGAGCAAAGTATTATTAACCTTTTATACCAAAATATCAAGAAATATTAAACAACCTACCTTGCTAAGCCCTAGCTCTCTTCTAAAAACATAACCTCTAAAAACTTCTCTGGCTTCTTTGGCTATTTTTCTACATTCTGCAAATCTGTACAACTAGAAAGTACCTCTATCACCACCTAGTCACCAACCTCAAAAATAGAACACACAAAAAATTTTGTTGAAATCACTATCAAAGACTGGTTTAAACTCTCTTTTACTGTTAGCTTCTCTATTCCTGAGTATGTTAGTGACTTTCTCTTCTATATCGATATTACTAAATCTGGCAAGATTCCAAATTTAGTCAATTACCCACTATAATGGATATGTAAACATGATGACTCTACCTAATCAATTTTATTTGACCTTACTACACAAAAAAACAACATTATAAATATTAGCACCAAATACTCTAAATCCACTTGCAACTATAACATTACAACTATTACAAATGCTTACGAAAGTAACATGAAACCTTACACTAAGGCCAAAAGCACTACTAACTTGCCCAAAATTCTGTACAACACTATTAAACAAATAGAATCTGATAATAAATCAAACAAAAGCAATATAGAAGATATCACATACTTAACAACACCCTATGTACTAGTACATACCTCTACAAGCACAAACATAGCCCCCACAGATACTACTAACAACACAAATAAAAATATCAATACTTCCACAGAGATGAACACAAATATACCTATTCCAGCTACAACCAGTACAGCTACTATTAGCAACCCTATTACTAATCACACAGAAAAATCTACTTTAGCCAGACCTAGCACACCTACTAACCAAATCACATTAGCAACAAGCATAGCAACTAGCCTCAATACAACTAACTCAGCCACTACAACTAGCACCAACACTAACTGCAAAAGACCCAGAAACAATATATTATTGCTTATTATAGCTCCAAATAAGGCCACTAAATCTGCTCCTAGCAGCATCTTTAGACTCTTTTCTAATACTTAGCTCTTCTCCTCCAAATCTATATATAGTCAAGTTACCCAAACTAACTTTAAGCTTTTTGCTACCAATACCCCAGATGATATAAAATGAACCACAATCATTTATAACAAAATCATAGCCCCTACTATTACACTATTCAATACTAACCTGTAGACATATGACAGAATCGTCATAGCCCTCAAGATCCCTGCAGGAATCCACAGCCTTATTAGCTACAAACTAACTACATCCCATACCACATTTAGACTTCCGAATACAATTGTACTTAAATTCAGTCACTTTAATACCAGGTTCTTTACTATATTTACTTGCAATTTCAAAACTACCTCTGC